TGAGCATTGTTTTTACTTTTTTGAATAGTCACGGACAACCTTCTGGTGGGGAAGTGTGTTTTTTTGGGAAAATGCTCTTCTGTGGAAAAAAAAACAGAACGGTGAACAGATGTTTAAAAATATTCTGCTGAAGGGTCCCAAAGGTGCTTTTTCAAAAGACAATGGAACTTTCTCATTTTTTCCTTGAAAGATACTTCACTTCTCATCCAAGATAAGAACTGAAGAAGCTTCGTGGATGAGAAATGAAATATCCTTTAAGGAAAAAACAAGAAAGTCCAATTGCTTTTTGAAAAAGCACCTTTGGGACAACCATGACCTGGATGATGGAATCTCCATAGGCATTCTGATGAAGGGATAATATTCTGGTGTAGTTCAGGGATTGTAACTGGTTTGTGAGAGACCACAATTAATTCCAAAGTGAATTCTACATGTGCTCCACCTACTAAAAAGTTTATTACTCCTTCCCTTAAAGCAGGATTCTGCAAACACGGCCCTTTTATGACTTGTGGACTTCAACGCCCAGAATTCCTCAGCCAACATGCCTGGCTGAGGAATTCTGGGAGTTGAAATCCACAAGTCATAAAAGGACCAAGTTTGAAGACCCCTGCCTTAAAGGTTCAAGACTTCTACTCTTGGTTTTGCAGAGAAGTTAAGCTCTTTCACCTTATTATCCTGTGTTTATCATTTTATAAACAATTTAAGGAGAGAATGTACAAGTAGTCCTTGGCTTACAATCATTTGTTTAGTGACCAAAGTTACAATTGTATTGAAAAAAGTTGACATGACTGTTTTTCATAGTCATAGTTGCAGCACCCAGTGTCCCAGGGTCATGTGAACATCTTTTGCAACCTTCTGACAAGCAAAGTTAATAAAAAAGCTAAATTCATTTAACAACCATATTGCTAACTTAACTGCAGCACTTCACTTAATGACTGTCACAAGAAAGGTGGTAAAGTGGAGCAAATCTCACTTAACAACTTTCTTGCTTAGCAACAAAACCTTTGGGCTCAATTGTGGTTGTGAATTGAGACTATCTAATACAGTGATGGCGAACCTTTTAGAGACTGAGTGCCCAAACTGCAACCCAAAACCCATTTATGCATCGTTGAGTGCTGGGTGGGTGTGGCCCATTGGCTGGATATGGCCCATTGGGTGGGCATGGCCCATTGGGTGGGTGTGGCTGCGATGATAACGGTAGACTGGGTAGGACAAAAAAGTTCAATCAATCCCAACTTTGCAAGATCTTTTTTTTCCCGCGAGAAGTTGAAATTGACTGATTGAACCTTTTTTTTTTTTTTACACACGGCAGCAGAGGCCTAAAGCGAAAAAGTTTTATAAAACCCAGCTGAAGGCCTAGAACTAGGGCGACAGCGCGCGTGCCCACAGAGAGGGCTCTGAGTGCCACCTCTGGCACCCGTGCCATAGGTTCACCACCACTGATCTAATACTTCTTCTTCTTCTTCTTCTTTTCTCCCCAACAACACTATAAGGGAGCATAACTTGGTTACCTCTTCTGCAAAGTGATGCTATTCATATTCATGGTGTAGTTCAGGGATTGTAAGGCAGGAGACCTTATACCAGTGGTGGCGAACCTTTTAGAGACCGAGTGCCCAAACTGCAACCCAAAACCCACTTATTTATCGCCGGGTGCCAGGTGGGCATGGCCCACAGTGTGGGTGTGGCTGTGGTGGTCATGGCAGATTGGGTGGGAGTGGCCAAGGTGGGCATGATCACCTCGATGTTGCTCATGGGGAGGGATGCCTGTGTGGGCCGGGAGGGTTGGGGGAGATCCAAGGGATCTCTGGCAGGTGGGATGGTGGGCAGGAGCCTTGTCCTGCGGGGTGAGGCGAGGCAAGGCGAGGCAGGATGGGGGTGCCATTGTCACAGGGCAAGTTGAGGCAGGGGCCGGGGCGGCTGCTGCCTGACACCATCGGCTCCTACATACAAAGGCCAGCGAGTGCATGGGTGTTGGGATGCATCTGGCCACATGGGACCTCGGCGAGTTAGCAGGCGGCTGGTTGAAGAGGGATGGTTGCCATCTCCAGGGCATGACGTTGTGCCCACAGAGAGGGCTCTGAGTGCCACCTCTGGCACGCGTGCCATAGGTTTGCCACCACTGCCTTATACCATCATGCTTATTCCAAAGACTCAACTCACTCAAGGGAATGGTATAATCTTAAACTCTCTTATTAGGGAATAAAAACCCACATCAGGGTTTCTCTGGGATAAAGAGGATTGAAATTCAGTCCAGGATATTGGTATTTGCTTTAAACTAGGTGCATCTAGCTTTGCAGGATTAGTAAAGATACAAGGTCTAAACCTTTATATCTTTACTAATCCTGCAAAGCTAGATGCATCTAGTTTAAAGCAAATACCAATATCCTCGACTGTACTCCTGTTGTGGATTTGGAGTGGAACGGAACAGAACAGAATAGAACAGAACAGAATAGAATTCTTTATTAGCTAAGTGTGGTTGGACACACAAGGAATTTGTCTCCGGTGCATAAACTCTCAGTGTACATATAAGTGATAGTGATAATCATGAGCATAAACAACATGAAAATACATTAATCATAAATCATAAAATACAACACTTCATAAATTGTAAGATGTGAAAGTCATAGAATACTAACTAAACCAGGGGTGTCAAACTGCTGGCCCGTGGGCCGGATGCGTCATCCGGAAGCTGCGCCCACCCCATTGCCGGCAATGGCAAAACCGTCCCGATACATTGCACAATGTCACGTGAGGTCGCGAGTTTGACATATCTGAGCTAAGCAAACAACATAAATCATATTGGGATACTAAAAACAATATAAATTGTAAGATACAAGCAACAAAGTTATAGTCATAAGAAGATAAGGATAAGTAATAGGAAAGAGAGTATCATAGTAATCAGATTTACTAATTAGTTTGACAGTGTTGTAGGAATTAGTTGTTAAGCAGAGTGACGGCATGGGGGGAAAACTGTCCTTATGTCTAATTGTCCTGGTGTGCAATGCCCTATAGCAGTGGTGGCGAACCTATGGCACACGTGCCAAGGTGGCACTCAGAATCCTCTCTGTGGGCACATGCGCCATCACCCCAGCCCCACCTTCCCCCGTGGCTCCCTCCTCACCATCAGCCCCCTGGAGGAGAGTCACCCCCGAGCACGGCCCATGCAGAGCAGCGCAGCCAAGGCCATGGCAGCCAGGCAGCAGGGACAAGACTCCGCCCTCATGCCCCATTGCGCGCAGTTGATGCTGTGGGGTGCGGGCGGAGGGCATGGTTGCCATCGCTCTGCTGGGCTGCCTGGGCGATCTGTAGTGGGCTGTGGAGGCGGTGGGTGGCCCTGCGGGTGGGCAGGGTGGGGGCAGGTCTGGTTTTTGGGCACTCGGTCTCTAAAAGGTTCGCCATCACTGCCCTATAGTGTCGTCTTTAGGGAAGAAGTTGAAATAGTTTGTGTCCAGGATGTGAGGGGTCTGTAGATATTTTCACAGCCCTCTTTCTTGCTTGTGTAGTATACAGGTCCTCAATGGAAGGCAGGCTGGTAGCAATTGTTTTTTTCTGCAGATCTAACTATCCGTTGAAGTCTGTGTCTGTCTTGTTTGGTTGCAGTGCCAAACCAGACAGCTATAGAGGTACAAATGACGGACTCAATAATTCTTCTGTAGAACTGTATCAGCAGCTCTTTAGGCAGTCTGAGCTTTCTGAGTTGGCACAGGAAGAACATTCCTTTTGTGCTTTTTGGATGATGTTTTTGATGTTAGGTGTCCATTTTAAATCTTGAGATATGCTCTACAATCAATTAATGTTTACTAAATCACAATGTTTACTGTGTTCAGGTGGCAGATTTATCCAGGATTAATCCTAGCTCATCATTTACCCTAGTTTTGCAGGAGAGATTAGCCATACAAACTAGGTTTGGCCAATACTCTAACCCAGGGGTGTCAAACTTGCAACATCACGTGACGTGTTGCGACGTATCGTGACTTTTTTTCAATTGCCAGCAATGGGGTGGGTGCAGTTTCGGCATGACGCATCCGGCCCGCGGGCTGGCAGTTTGAAACCCTTGCTCTAGGCTGAAACTTAGTTAAATGGCCACAGGCAGAACTTACCGGACTTAAGACCACATTTGAGCCCAACATTTCTATTGCCAAACAAGACAGTTGTTAAGTGAATCACTGCAGTTGTTAAGTTACTAACATGGTTAAGTGAATCTGGCTTCTTCACTGATTTTGCTTGTCAGGTCTCAAAAAACAAAGCAAAAACAAAAAAACCAACCCCTGACCTCGGGACACTACAACCATCATAGATATATGCTAATTGCTAAGCATCTGAATTTTGCTTACATGACCATGAAATGCTGCAATGGTTATAAGTCTGAAAAATGGTCATAAATCACTTTTTTCAGTGCCCTGTAAACTTCAGATGGTCACTAAACAAATGGTTGTAAATCGGGGACCAACTTGTACTTGGTAAACTAGTGTGCCCTGAAAATGTAGCCTCACCTTGGTGGATCTTTTCTGTTAAGCAAGATGGCATGGGATGGTCGAGGCATTTATAGGGCACGAAGCTGCTTGCAAGACTTAGGTTTATGGAGAGGGGGGCAAACTTCGCAGCAAGGCAAGCAACCCACCAAAACTAGATTAACTTTAGAGCTATTAGGAAAACAAAAACGCCCAAGAAGAGTGAATTTCCCCCCCACTCCCTGAGTTAATTGATTTTACAAAGGAGGGGATCTTTAATAGGGCTCCCAGGTAGTGGAGGGGGGTCAAAACGAGGCAATAACGAGGCAATACCCGGCACAGCCTTGTAGGGGAGACAATCTGCCCTTTTTCCTCAACATGAGTGTAGCGAAGAGAGTGAGAGCCGCCGCCTGGCTGCGCTCAGGAGAGACGCCGAACAGGTGGCCACAGGCAGTTGTGGGCGCGCCAGGAAGGCAGCCGACAAGCAGCGAGCAGGCGTGCGTAGAGCTGTCGGCGCCCTCCCCTTCCCGGCCCGCAGCATGTGAACCCGTCGCCCTGTCCTCCGGAATAGCGGCACGATTCTGCCTATTTGGTTGCCGCAGGGTGAGGCGCCCGCCCTCGGGCCGGGCTCCCGCTTGGCACTGGTGGCCCAGGAAAAGCAAACAGACCCCAAAAGATCTCCCTCCCTCGGGCAGCCGAACCGGACTCAGGCGGAGAGAGGCGCTCGGCCGTTTCTCCAGTCGCCCCTCTTGGGCCGAGTCTGTAGGAAGGCTCGGAAGCAAGAAGATGAAAGTCACCGTTTGCTTCGGCAGGACCCGGGTGGTCGTGCCCTGCGGGGACGGGCACATGAAAGTTTTGAGTCTGATTGAACAAGCCGTCACCAGGTACAGGAAGGCAATCGCCAAGGTGAGTTGGGACGCTCTCCGGGGCCGCGGGGAGACACCCGCTGTCGGAAGAGGGGGCCGAGCGCCTGGTCGAGGAGAGATGGGGTAGAGCGAGGCTAAGAAGGCGCAGCCGGAGGAGGAGGAGGAGGAGGGAGTGAACGAGGGAGCCTGGGATCAATATGGCGCTTCCTGGAAGGGGGAGGGAGGCAGGGAGGAGAGGAAAAGTGGTGGATGAAGGGGCTCAGGCTGCTGCTTGGTGGACGCGAGGAGACGGACCGGGGAGGGGGGAAACCCTCTCTTCCTCGCCCCGCCGAGCTTTTTAGGCGCGCGAGCCAGAGGTGAAAAGCTCCCTGATGAAGCGTGGAAGAGAGTTGGAGAGCTGCGGCCGCTTCCCTCGCTTCCCTCCCTCACCTCGGTAAACTTTCCAGTGCCGCCGCCGAGCTCCTGTAGCTTTCAGCCGGCTGGAAAGCCAGCCGAGATCGCGGGCGAGGAAACCCCCAGCTCTTCGCCAGGGATTGGCGTGGCCGGGGGCGCAGCTCCATCCGCTTTGTGCAGCCTAATCGGAGCGAGCCGAGATTTGTTTCCGAGACAGGGTGGCGAGTTACACAGTTGCGAAGGGTCGCGGGTGACGTCTGGGGCCTCAACTCTTTGTTGTTGGGTGCCAGGGGAAACCCGCAAGTGCCCTGCCAGCAGGCCTGTAACTTTCCTCCTTTTCCCGCTGACTTGCCTCTCCGCTCGTCCCCGAAGCGTTGGGGAGCCTCTCGTCCCTTCTCTCCTCGGCCAGATCACGGGTGGGATTAGGCTCTTGTCTATCGCTTCCGAGAGTACTAGAAGACACGTCGGTCTCCTCTCAGTTGTCGTTGGGATTTGTACGGTGCTGGATTGTCGCTTTGCACAACATGCGACCATGGTCATAACGTGCACACACTTAGCCCGTTCTTTTCCCACTCCGCTCCCGATGTGCAAGTTTCTTTCCCGGGTTGTAAACTCCTGCACGGTTTCAAATCCAGGCCCAGGCTTTCCAGCAAGTCCAGGCCCAAGGTGGGGAGAAAGTGGGTGGTGGTGGTGGAAAACAAACATTAAACGATCATGGAGTCCACATGCCTGTAAGAAAGAAATGCGTTTGCTGGAGGTTTCTTTGTGTTTGAAAAAATGCTGTGCTGCCACCTCATTTTAGTTAAACGTAAACACAACTAACACATGAGTTGGACAACTCTTTCTAAAGAAGGGGGGATTATTAGAGAAAAAGAACCCTTTGCTTTGGTTATAGTGTAGGCCACGTTTCACAGAGGAATAGTATTTTTTCCTGCGTTTTTAGAAAAGCAGTTCAGAAGATTTGTCTCTCTTGAGAGGGGGAGGGCAAATGGTAAGGCACTCTAAAGAAGATGGGGATTTCTCATTTACATGATTATCTCCTGGAAAGACAAGCAACCAGTGAATGAACCAGTTCCTTTAAGTATTAAACTGTAGGAGCAGTTTGTCTAGGACATTTGCTCTTAATCATACAATCTAACGTGCCTTTCTGGCTTGTAGGAGCTTGTTTGGATGTTTATTAATTTTTGCAAGAACTCTGCACTTCTGATACCAAGGCTGTGTGTTGAGAAAGAAAGAAAGAAAGAAAGAAAGAAAGAGCAACATTGATGAAATCCTGTAACTTTCCTTGGGCTGATTATATGCCTGCAAATTTTCATCCTGGAGATTGTTTTCTTCTAGGTGTTTCCATGTTGCTGCAGCAAAAGTGGAGGATGGTTTTAGGGTAGCTGTGCAGTTGAAAGTTCTACCCTGAAAGTATAAATGTGTTTCTTTTTTGTTTGTTACCATCCATGTTCCTTGTCCAAACTCAAGGAGTTTAGTGCAGTGATAGTAATAATAATAATAAAGTTGGAAGGGACCTTAGAGGTCATCTAGTCCAACCCCCTGCTCAGGCAGGAAACCCTATACCATTTCAGACAAATGGCTGTCCAGTCTTGCTGAATCTTGCTGTTGTTTCCTTCCACTCTCCCTTGCATTACACATTTCTCTACACAGTTAGATATTTGCATAATATATCTAAAGTATGATAATTTGAGCCTGATCATTTGTGCCTCTAGTGCAGTGTTTTTCAAATTTGGCAACTTTAAGATGTGTGAACTTTCCCATATTGGCTGGCAAATTCTGGGAGCTGAAGTCCACACATCTTAAAATTGCCAAGTTTGAAAAACACTACTCTAGTGATAACAGCACACAAGTTAAAAAAGTGTAGTACATACACACTTTATTATTGCAATGTTATATTGAAGTTAAACTAGAAAAAATCATTGGGTGTAACTATTGACGTTTTAATCAAGACAGGTGTACCTTAAACTTAACTTGGATTTCTCTGCACGCCAAATGAATTTAATATGTGAGTATTCTCAAATAATCTCTAGATATGGTCCAGACAAGGCAGAAGATTCTGGTGTTACACTTTTTATACATTCAAATGGGGATGTTTTGGAGGGAATAACTGTGAATATTAATACTTTCCTTGAGTACGAAGTCTGTGCATCATACTTCAATCACTCTCTTTAACACTAGAAGCATCAATTGCTGAATTTTAAAACGTTTCTTCAAATGGATAATTTGCTTTCTAAAATATCGTATCTTTATGAAATGTTACTTTTATTAGTCTCTCTACTCCTCTCATCTCTTCTACTAAATCTGGTTGAAACATCTATTCCAGGCAGGAAAATAGGGACATGGTTCACAGTGCATTTAACCATTCAGAAACAACAATGTTTTGGTTTTCTGGCTGGTAAATTTTGCCACATACTTGTACTTGAATAGTAAACTTTTAAACTGTTCCTAGTGTGTTGCAGGTATAAACTAGAGGAAATTTATTCAAAACGTTTGGATTGATTTTCAACTGTGTCATAAAGAATAACGTACAGTAATAAATTTGCATTTTAAATAATGTGTTAAGGCCTAATGTGATGCATGGATTTTGTCTTAATTGCTAAAGGGATAGCATAGCACACTATATGAATATAAATCCTGAGTGAGATCTGAGGTTCATCAACCCTAGCATTCTGCATTATGGCTATAACATCCTGATATTTCAAGTAGCTTTCCCAACTTTATCTGGATATGCTGGGAGTTTTATTTGGGATCTTCCACAGGCCTTCCATTGAACTATGACTTTTTGCTTTAGGTTAAATTGTAAAAAGTGTTAAATACTGTTGTTTAAAAATTTTAATCGTACATATTTATAGATAGATGTCCTTACATGTATTTGTGTATTTATAAATACACATTCAATATTTAAAAATATCATGTAACAAATAAGATATGTTTAAGATTTCAGCTGTTAAACCTCAAAATCTGTTCAAAAGTTACTATCGGGTATTTCAGATAAACTATTTGTAACTTCTCTCCTGTAATGCTTTTTTCATAAGCAATTTAAATCTACAGGTAATCCTTGACTTACAACTGGTTGCTTAGCAGCTGTGTGAAGTTATGACGAACTTACTTAGGGGTACTTAAATTCAAAGTTTTGATGGTTTGAACTTTGAATTCAAAGTTCTGATGATTGCCACCCTTGTCCCCTTCAGTCATGTGACTGGACTTCAAGTTCTTGGCAATGGGATTGCATTTATAGCTGTTTATTGCAATGTCCCACATTCATGTGACAATATTTTATGATGGCTTTGTTGAAACCTAGCATTAACTTCTGGTTTTCAGGAAATCCAGTCGAAAGTGAATCATGGGTTCATTTAATGACTACGGCATTCACTTTACAGTTGTCATTTCTGCTTAATCATAGAAAAGGTCATAAAATTGAGTTGATCGTGTGACCTATCTGCTTTATGGCTATCAAGACTGATGACCTAATGGACAGGCTCCATTATGATTATAATACAAGAATTGCCTCTAATGCCTAATGCTTGTATAGGGATTTAGTACCAGTTAGAAATCTTTATGACTATATGTGTTTGCAACCTGAGATTTACAAATTTACTTGAGAAGAAAGCCTTGTGGTCTACAGCAACAGAAATATAAACATCTAAAACAACACAGGACTCAATACTAATATAACACACATCTCAATTGTAGGATCAACTTTGTGACGGAAATGTATTGAATTATCTGTTCTATTTTTTCTTTCAACATAATTATGTGAATGCAGGCTGTCAGTGAAGTATTTTTGCAAATTAAGAAGCAGAGCTGTATTCTCAAGAGCTGATAATGCTTTTGTAGGAAGCAGTGCTCCAAAAATTAAACCCAGTATAATGCAAATTACATCTTTTGTTATGGTTAGAAGGGACCTTTTATGATAGGAAAATGAAAAGTTAATTACATGGCTAGAGACAGAACTTGCTGTAAACAAGAAGACTTAACAAAATCAGGTATGGTTAAATATACTTTTTTTGCTTTGTTTTATAATCAAGAACAGATTGAATCATTTTTCATCCTTCTCTGCATTTTTAATTGTGGACTCAGACATACACAGTCCATTTTTAATTGTGGACTCAGACATTTTTTTTAAAGGACTTTGAATGCAGGATGGATTGTAAGACTAAGGCTTGATGTATTGACTGTATTGTATGTATGTATGTATGCTATTGATAGAGCTTATACCAAGCAACTTTGTCATTGAAGTTTAGAGGAAAATGCCTTTGGGGATTATTTTGGATATGTATCTGTGTATCTCTTTGTGTATGTTTGTGTATGTGATCAAGCATTGGGGATGACAGGAATGTTTCAAAAATAATTATGAACTCTAAAGTTTATACAAATCTATAAACACTAAATACAGATGCCTGATGTTACTTGAGGATATACACAGGATATACTAGTTATATATTAGTGTGTGTATTTTCAACATAGGTGACTCATGACTGCCTGGACAAATGCCTAGAGTTGTCTTGGCAAGGTTTTGGAAATGTTTGCCCATGCCTTCTTCCTAAGGTTGAGAGAGAGAGATTGGCCCAAGATGGGTCTACTCTAAAACTCATGGTCTCCCAGTTTGTAGCCTGATGCCTTAACCCAGGCATGTCAAGCATG